GCACCCTGAGTGCATCCCACACGTCCTTGGCCTCTGCATGTCCTGCTACTTGCATCAGAATGTCTTCCGGTAGTGCCTGGAAGATAAAGGCCCTTGCCTTCTTCCGGATCTTGACGTCCACCTCCGTCGCATCCGGTGGTTCTATGGCATCCCAAATTCCTTGGGCATCCATAAACGACTGCATCTTGATAGCCCAAGATGTATAATTCGTTGTAGTGAGTACAGGACATTGGTACGTTGTCGAGCCTCCATCTCGAACTGGGTTAACAGCAACAACATCGTTTGTTTTCTTAGTATTGATGGCCTCCATCACAGACTATTGTTTTTCAGGCGTATTGCAAGACAACTACTGGTCACAGATCTGTGTTTTTGATTTTTTTCTTAACCAGGGCTCTGATACCAATTGAGAGAATAAAAATCAGATCTGGAGTATATAAACAGTGTTTTTATTATTGTGGAACATCTGTCCAGAACTATGTTTCCATATATATAAATAGAGGACTAAACAACACAACCATTACAAATAGACACAACAGTTCCTAACCAACACATCTGTTGGAAACTGTCATAAAACTGCCTGTAACTGCCTAACTGCCTGCCCCTTTTTTACTTATTTATTTTTAAATTTAAACTATATTCTGGACTGGAATTAACCAACAAAGTCTGAATAATTTAATTTTGCCAGATTTTGGTAGTATTATTCCATGTATATTCACATGAAAGTTCTGTTTGAAGCTTTAGTGCATTTTGATATCCTCGAGCAAGTTATTTTCTTGTAATGTTCAAATGCTTTTAACACCCCCCCCTCCAGTTCCTCTCTAATCTTTATCATCTGGTTCATTTCTTCCTAGATGTCAAAGTTATACGGAGTATATCGTAAGGGTGTTTAGAACTGTTTGCATACGTTGCTGGGATGAAAAAAATAGTAAACATTAAGAAGAACTTGTCTAGAAGTGTAATGTTGATTTGATAAAAAAGATTGACTAGATACTACTCATGCACTCCTGCTTTTGCAGATAAGGGACTCCAACCGTGCAATGATCCTAGCTGCCGCGACTGAGCAGCAGTGCAGAGTTGTTGATCTTGGTATAGCTTGTGATGATGAACAAGAGATCGAAAAAACTTTAGACAGTGCCTTCTCTTCTGGAATCAATATTCTTCTAACATCTGGAGGTGTTTCAATGGGAGACAGGGATTTTGTGAAGCCTTTACTTGAAAAGAAGGGGAGGTTATACTTTCAGAAGGTAATGCAAGAAATGCTAACCTCCCTTACTCCTCACATGTATGGTTATTAGCACCTGACTACCATTTCAAGTTTGCAATGCTACAAAACTAGTTACTCATAATGAGTCTTGATGTCATTGGCCCAATGTTCAGGTACACATGAAGCCTGGAAAACCTCTTGTATTTGCCAAAATTCTTCCTAGATCAGCTGACAACACATCCAATACGATTTTGGCATTTGGTTTACCTGGAAACCCGGTGAGCTGCTTGGTCTGTTTCCATCTTTTTGTGGTGCCTGCTATTAGACATCTTTCTGGATGGACACACCCTCATCTTCCAAGGTTTCCTAATATTTATCAAAAGGCCTTTCTCTCTTCTAAATTTATAGTTTTGTTTTTTTTACGTGAGGCGTTTCTAATGAAATTTCTTTAATATAATTTGTAGAGTACAAGCTCGGCTCAAACAGTCAATAAAGCCAGATCCCGTACGTCCCGAATTCCATCGTTCTATTATCACATGGCAGTCAAATGATGGATCTGGCCTTCCTGGGTGAGGCAATTTGTGTGCATGTGTTTTGTGTTATTCATTTTTGCTTTGAACTTCCAACTAGTGCACGAGTGTTATCCCCTTGCTTGCTTAATTCTCTCACATGTATGCATGCATGTATGTATTTTGTATGTATGTACGTGTGTTTGTGTGTGATATTTACTGATACTCACTAGCACTTAGTAGCATCCAGTGATGGTAAACTGTGTCTCGTGTGTATATTGAATCTTCTTTAGTATGCTGTACCTGGTTATAAAACTATTATCATCGAGATTTGATTTGAAAGATCCATTTATCACATTGTTTTTAAGATTCATACACATGTTAAAAGTTTAATAGACTTCTATCAAACTTGGATTTTGCAGTATTTTCTGCAGGTACGTTTCTGTAGTTTGTTAGGTTGAGCCAATATGGAACAAATTAGAATATGTAACAAATTAGAATATGTAGTATACTGTGTTGTAAGAGATGCATAATTACTTGTTCAGCTTCTATTTCTCAATGATTTTCAGATTTGTTGCCGAGAGCACTGGTCAGCAAGGAAGTAGTCGACTTTTAAGTATAAAGTCAGCAAATGCATTATTGGAAGTGCCTGCATCCAGCTGTACAGTTCCTGCTGGTGCTTCTGTGGCTGCAATCATTATTTCAGACATAAGTTCTCTCTCAAGTTATAGAAGCCAGCCATCAGCACAGTCCTACCATTCAGAGTCAGGGTATAGGCCACTAGAAGTAAATGCTTGTGATCCTCAACCTTCTGGATTCAAAGTAGCTATTCTCACAGTTAGTGATACTGTTGCGGCTGGAAAAGGACCTGATAGGAGGTATTGGGATGTCATTTATTTTCTATTGTAAGATATTTCTCCGGGGCCACTTAGGTAGAGCTTATCTTTGCTGAACTAAATAATATTGAACTGAACTGAACTTTTAGTCGTCATAGATACTAAATTGAACTGAATTTATAGGTACTGAACTGAACTTATATATACTAAATTGAACTGCTGTAATGGCTTTGCAGTATTTAAATATGGTTCTCTACTTCTCTGTGAGCTTAATGCTTCTTCATTAGATAGATAAGATGTAATAGCAACTGAGAATATTTGGTTCACGGTTCACCTCAGTTTTTGGTTAAATCTGATATTTTGGGCATTGAGATACACCTTTTAGGATTGTTATTCCAAAAGGGTCACATTAACGATGCAAGAGAAAATTGCAATGTTGATATTACTCCTTGGCTAAGAGGAACTTGTGGGTAATGCATTCTTTGCTAGTTGCTACAGACATACTGTTTTTCTCCTTAGTGTGATTTGCCTAAAATATTATGGGGACGATGTGTTCACATATATTTGTTTTAACAAATGAAACAAATGGATTAACTAAAAACAATATTTACTCTCTCCATCCCATAAAAAGTCCACTATGGTGAGTGTACAATTTTTAAATTTTAAAAAGGTACAACCTTTAGAAAGCACTAAACATACCTATATTCTTAAACAACTTGAGAAACATAACTCATTTTATGGGACAAAAACAAGTTCAGAAATCTGATTCTTTTTATGGAACAAAGGGAGTATTAGCCTGGCCTTTTCATGAGAATGGCATACCACACAAGTCGGAAGAGGATCCAATGATCGAGTATCAACCAATTCCTAAAAGGAAGTGTTTCAAGTACCTTAAATCATTCCCTTACTCTTCTTCCTCTTGAGTCTTGAGCCAAGGGACCAAAAAACAACCTCTTTGTTGGGGTAAGCCGGTAAGGTCTGCATGCATCCATTCTCCCATACTCCATTGTTGGACCTAACCAAGTTTTGTTGTTGGTTTTTGTTGCTTTCCGTTGGAATTACTTTCTATGGAATCACTTTCCATTACTTGGTCAAAATGTGGATCTTTTTTTATTCCCACATCCCCATGGGAATCACTTTCCTTCACTAAGAGGAAAATAATCCCTTTTGACTACTCATTCACTTTGGTAAAGTTAGGTGACAAGGAATAGAATCATTTTCCTCCCAGTTATTTCCTATGGAAGCTAATTGCTTTCCCTCTACCAACAAACAACAACCTATCCAAGGAAGCCTCGCGAGCGGGTTCTTGGGGTGCGTATTTGCAGACCTTTCCCTCGTACCAAATCCATCCTTAATATCAATTTATCATATCTCTTTTAATATTGGTATGAGGTTGGATCTTTCAGTCTGGATCAAACAAAACCTTTGGATTTGATTTCAGCCTTGATGCATTTAAAAGTGTGATCTTTATTTTCTTCTTTTGGAAACTGCCTGTTCAGGGTTGTCGGTTTTATGTTTAGTTTTTTTCAAACTAAATATCGGAGTTTGAAAGCCAGACCAAACTTTGTTGGCAGTTTTCAAAGTTAACATGATTTGTATAGCATATACGGAGTACAAAACAATTTATATGTTGTTGGTACACCATATACAGTTATACCCTTACATGTATCTAAGACTTGATTTCACCTGCACGAGATGTACGACCATATTACAGTCTGAGTGAATGGATGGTTACCAGAAAAACAAGGATGCTAAATGGATGATGGATGGATTGGATCGGATCACCCAACTCATCATTTGATCCATCCATCCATACATTTATATTCAAATAAATAATTAAATATATGAGTTAATAAATGTATTTGTTTGGTTGTTTGTAGCTTATCAGTAACTCAATGGATCAGGTGGTGCTCCATCCGTTCCATTGCCAGCCTTACATGTAACTTTTAAAATCATAAAACCAAAAACAGAAAACTAGCAACCACTCCGAACTGGCCTTGATTTGATTTTTCATCACTAGATCTAACTTCAACATTTTCTTTACATCTATCAGTGGTCCACGTGCAGTTTCTGTTGTGAATTCATCATCAGAGAGACTAGGAGGGGCAAGAGTAGTTGCAACAGCTGTTGTTCCAGATGATGTGCAGAGCATTAGGGATATTTTACGGAGATGGTGTGATATTGACAACATGGATCTTGTTCTTACCCTAGGTATGCTTTGAATTATGATGTGTTCTGTAGATCAAGCAATAGATGATCTTATGTTTCTGCCACAGAATTTAGCTTGATAATTCCAGGCCTCTTTTGGACAGGGAGTTGACAACAACCCAGTATAATCCCAGCTCTTTTGGGGTATGGGGTGAAGATGTACACAGTCTTGCCCTGTAGAAACAGAGAGACTGTTTCTGTTAGAACCTAGATGCATTGCTGGGAGTTGTTGGGTCGTACACCCTGAATTCCGGTGTTTCTCAGTTCAAGAAACTGCAGGCACACGATGCCTCCCTGATACTGCTTTATTTCTGTCATGTCAAACATTATACTCCATCCCATAAAATCCTTGACACATTTTAGTTCACAGAGTTTAAGAAAGTTGCTGAAAAGTAAAGCGTGGTTAGAATTTGTTTAGAGGAGAGAGAATTGTTGGTAGCCATATATTCATTACCAAAATAGGGAATTTAGTAAGTGTAAGGTATTTTTTGGGCGGCAAGGTTATAGTTAAACTCGTTTTGAGTGTCAGATTATAACACCGGTCAAATTGAGGCTTCTACGGTGCTTCGATAAAAAAATTGATGGTTCATACCCCCCTAACCCCCAACCGGCTTGACCCAAACCCACCCCCACCCCCGTCAATTGAGCCCCCATTCTTAGTTGTTTTTGGATTTTGTTGTTTTTATTGGGTGGGGGGTTAGGAGAGTATAAGCCATCAATTTTTTAATCAGAGCACTGTAGGGCCTCAATTTAATCGGTGTCATAATATGACACCCATTTTGAGTGTCAATATAACCTTGTGGCCCTTTTTCGGGAGATCCAAAAAAGGAAAGTTTGGGGAATTTTGTGGGATGGAAGGAGTACGAAGTATAATTTAATTCACAGTTTCCACACTAACTTCCATAAATTCAATTTTTCCAACATTTGAATTCAAATGAGGCCAAAATTTCTGAAATAACTGATTTTGTAAATCAGGTGGGACTGGTTTTACTCCAAGGGACAACACTCCCGAAGCCACTAAAGCTTTGATTCAGAAAGAGACACCTGGTCTTCTGCATGTGATGATGCAGGAGAGTTTAAAGGTAAACAAGAAACTGGTTTCAATTGCCGAACCTAAGTCTTGTTTTCCCTAGTATTTACTATATAGTGAGTGATCCTAATGTACAGTACTTTCTACCACTTCCTTCCCACTCTAATTTCAAGTCTTCATATGGATTCTTAATGAAATGTTATTCACAACTCAACTTCAAAATTCAAAATGAAAAGAATTGTGCATCATTATATTAACTTAAAAGGCACTTTAAAAAATAAAGGCTATTTCAATGACCCCTTTCTCTTTTTTACCTATATCCGATATGATTACTTTTCTGATTATAACTATAAACAGGTCACACCATTTGCAATGCTATCTCGCTCAGCAGCTGGCATTAGAGGCTCCACATTGGTATGTCAATGACTTTGATTTGTATGATTTAGGCATATATGATTGCACACAAAACTTCTTCCAAGTTGAATTTCGTGCAGATGCACAACCAAGTTTTCTTGTCCACTCCTTTTCATGGGTGCTTGTTAGCGTGATTTTTACGGGGAAAAATATTTTCTAATATACAAATTCAAGTGCGTCATTGGAATGGTTGGATTTCCTAAATAAATTCGTGGAATCTTTGGGTGTGTTTGGAACTAGGAAAATGCTAGTGGAAGTATATACGAAGTAGATGATAAATTTGGAAGGACAAAAGGTTTGAGGGATAAAAAATACAAAATTTGTTCAAGCGTGATGATTTTAATATTTGTTCAGGCTCATTTTAGTAATGTATTTTTATTACAAAGTTTAAATAAAAGTAAACTTTCAAAGACCCTAATCAAATTTGTCTTTCCTTCATAACTTCTTTACCATTTCCCTCTGCATTTTGGGGGTGTTCTGAAACTACCTCTTTACCTTTTTTTTGGGTGAACTATATAACATCACATTACTAACATGCCTGCATGTATAGTAGTATATACAAGAGTAGGACAGGCATACCTGAACCAATCAAAGGCAATCAGAAGCCCGAATCCAGACCAGAGCCCACTTGCGGACTTAAATGTTACTAGCTAGGTTATAGTAGTAGTAGTTTCCCTTTGCATATCCTGAGTTCCAAACATAGAATTCCCCAATTTCAAGGGATTAATCTCCACGTTCTATAGATAAGTGGAATACTGTTAGGTTGTGCCATGTATGGAATGAAACATCGCCCCTCATTTTCCCCCCTTGGAAAGTGACGTTTTCGCGGGAGGGGACATTTACTGTGTTAGTTGCTGGTGTGTCTTCATACATCATTGCAGATTATAAACATGCCTGGAAATCCTAATGCGGTGGCTGAGTGTATGGAGGCACTGATCCCCGCCCTTAAGCATGCCTTGAAGCAGATCAAAGGCGACAAGCGAGAAAAACATCCTCGGCATGTTCCACATGCAGATGCATCCGATACTTGGGAGCGTAGTTACGTATCAGCTTCTGGTGGCGGCGGAGGTGGTGGTGGTGAAGAGCCCCCACCTCCACCTTCTTGTTCTTGTTCACGCTGAAGTTTCTTGGCAAGCTGATTGTTTTTATGAAATAGTGCATGTCTTGCTTACATATGACATTGTTCAAGGGGCAATTAACAATTTTCAGTAGATACAATTGAAAGACATTGGGTTGAATGATTAATATGTAAAATAATCCTACTAACATTTGAATGGTAGTGTCGAATATCTGCAATGCGTTATTGTTTGAAGAGTGCTGCTAGTCACAAGCAAAACAAAATCACAATTCACAAGTGAATATAAATTTCCACTTTCTAATTATTTAAGACCATTTCATTCAAATTTGCAAGTTTGTAAAACTTGTGACTTTTTATTTGTAACTTCCAACATTTTCTCTGTTTGTTTCAATCTAGAGTTCTACATTAAAAAATATCTAGATAAGGTGTCTCTTTGGTATTAGCTTTGATCTTTTAGTACAGCTATTCGATAATAGTTTTACGGCTTTAGCTTATTATTTTAAAGTTATTTTTACTCACTACTGAAAAATTGATACTTTCTATCCCTTTAGTCCTATGCTCCCCTCTCTAAAAATGCCATTTGGCTACAAAGTAACTATAGCCAATTGATATTATTTGGGAAGAGCTAAAGAGGTTTAAAGTAGGTAAGAATCTTTGAATTAAGATCATAAGTGCATATTATGACATTAAAACTTGTGAAAAAAACCGGGGCAAAATTTAAAATAATGTTTCCATTTGGAGGAATATGTAAAATTTGATCATTTTTAAAATAACTTTATTTACAAATTAGTATAGAATAAAAAGTATAAAATTATAAAATTATAAAATTCAAAACAATGTTAAAAGTTTTGTAAAATAGATGTGATAAAAATATTTTATTTTGTTAAATAATCAAAGAAAACATGCATATAAATATAAATTATCGAAAGATTATAATAATAACTGAGAAGATTAATTTGGGAAGAAGAGGGTATAATTTAGGACGTGTTGCTCTAATTTTGTTAAAGAATCAATACTCCCTAGTCCCTTGCAAAACGTGAAGTTGAGCATATGTGAACGAAGAAGTCTTTCTTAGTCATTTTCTTATAAATCGTTTAGCTTTAACATATGCCGTCATAAGTGTCATTTTTGCAATGCTAATCATTACTTAAATGACTACTTATGGACTTTTGAGAGATAAAAGACAATAAAATTGAAGAATCAATCCTGAATTTTAGCTCCATAAGTAAGAATTGCTTTTAAGAACATTCATAAGGATTTTTTGGGACAGAGAGAATATTTAATTACTCACTTCACATCACAAAAATTTAAAAACAAAAGATTTTGTATGTATTTTTCTACTCCTATTAACCTGCAATTTGCAGTAAGTGTTTCTCCTTCTTTTAAACTGGTCAAAATTGTTTATAATTTATTTTTAACTTAAAAGTCAGTTGATAACTTTTTTTGTGCTTATAAGTTAATTTATAAGCTGATTATGAGCCGGGAAAAATAAGTACGTCTTATCTACTTAATTTTAAGTAACTTTTTTTGTTTCTCCATTTTGACCAGATTATTTGCAAAATTATTCCTCACATGTTATGAATATCATCGAATGACTTATATATCATTTAAGCCATTTTATTTATACGAAATAATGTTCAACTTATAAGTAACTTCTAAGTTAAAAATTACTACCTCCGTCCTAATTCATAACGCCTAATATTTTATTTTATCAAATTGCTAACGAAAATAGAGAAACAAAGTGAATGAAGTTTGACCATGTGAATAGTAAACAGACATTATAATTTGGAATGGAGGGAGTACTTATCAACAAAAATCTATCAGCACCCGCATCGAGAAACCGAGAAACACCCAAAGCGAGAGTGTTTCTTTGTTCCACCTAAGGTCCACAAAAATTTTATGGATCTTCTCACATAAAAAATAATTTTTAAATTTTTTTAAAAAATAAAAATAAAAATACTTTTATCAATATTAAGCAAATGTTTATTTGCTTAGGTACACCATGAACCTTAGGTCCGTTGTAGAATTTGTCTTAGGGAGTATTTTTATAGAAATCACTTTAAATAGAACTAAAACATAAACAAAAGTATTAAAATAGAACTTTCATGTTTTTTTCTCGAAATAGGACTTTGCACTGTGGTAATGTGACACTGTACATGTGCACATTACTATACTTTTTTGGTAATGTAAATGACTATGTTTGGTAATGTAAGTCTTAGTTCGGAAATAAAAACATGAAAATCAAATTTTGTTATATATTTTCAATATTTTAATCCTACTTTGATTTTTCTCCCATGTTTTAATGATACCCTCTTTAGTGCATACGGTATATGTAGACCTTATCATGGTAAACCTTAAGTCACAACTTGGGTTTCAAGTACTCTCTCCATCCTGTTTTAAATCGCTCGTTTTGATTTTTGAGCATATTTAAAAAAAATTAAAAATAGAGTTGATTTTCGGAAATTATTAATATTTTTTAGGAGGGATGATGATAAATGAGAATATAATGTGGAGAAGATTGACTTATTTTAGAGGTAGTTTAGATATTTTATTTTTAAAAGTTTACTCTAAGAGTACTTTTTTTTTTAGATCCATGTGTGCTTTTTAAGCATAAAATAAAGGTTTTCGGAAGCTTTACAGCTGGCGCGTAAGAGAGAAAACGAGAATGAAGGACTTCTCCACTTTGTAGCTCAGAAAGTGACTCTCCCAAAATATACCATTCCCCTTCAGCTTTGTTCCGTTCCGTTCCCGGTAAATTCTGCCATTAGAGCAACTCCAGCCGGTAATGTTAAAATGAGTAAAGTGTAAAAAATAAAAGTTTTAGCCTTTACTTTACACAATTTGAAACTACTAAAAGCCATATTTCCGATCGTGTCCTTCCCTGCTCTCCAAACCCTAGAAGACGATTTGGGAAACTTCTCCATCTGCTCGATTTGGGAAAAGCTTCGCCAAGGTATGAAGCTACTTTTTTTCTGTTTTGATGTTGCCAATTGGCCTCCAATTCTTGTGGATTCATTTTTTATGTTGCCGATTGAATCAATCAAATTTCTTTTCTCTGGATTGTTGCCGATTTCCTTAATTTTTGGATTGAAGCTGATGGTGTAAATTACTTGACCGGTCAAACTATACTAGACCGGGTCTAGAATAGTTTGCTTGATTTGGCAAAGTAAGAAATGTAAAAACACGCAGATTGACCGGTAGGACTTTAGGTGGAACACCTGTAGCCCAATTTATATTATAACGGAGAATGCACAGGTGCTTTTACAAAGGAGTTTAGAGAGAATGAATTCGGATCTCCTTTTTTGAGGGTTACAAGAGGTATATATACTAAGCTGGGGGGACAGGACCACGTGCGCCCACGTGGGGGCACGCTGCTGATGGGGTGCGAGGTGACTGGTTTCGTCCTCGAGCTGCCCTGTCGCCTTGTGAGGGGAATCACCTCCCTTGTCGCGTTCTGGCTTGGAAAAATGCCCTCAGAATCTCTGCAGTACCAATCACTACAGTCCAAGTCTTTTTGGATCCTTCCTGCCGACACTCGTCGACCTTGAAAAACTACCCCGGCTGGTCATCGTGGGTTGATTAATGGACTTCGGAAATTGGTTCCACAAACTTGAGTAATTTGACCGGTATACTATCCGAAGTATACCGGTCAACTTTGCGGTCGACCCGTCGTCTCTTTGCCGACGATATGGATCTTTCTCTCAAGTTTGACCTCTTTGATCGGTCAACTATCTGGCTCTGACCTCTGACCGGTCATGGGTGAAATACACCCATCAATAAGCCCTCCACTTCTCGGTTATGCAATTTTGTCATAAGCGGGAAGTAAAAATTCTGAAACAGGACTTTAAATCTTGGAATCTTTGTTTTTCCCGCCTAAAATTTTCAAAATTTGAATTTTGAAAGTGCCAAACTTGACACGAGCCGCGCGCAGCAACGGTCGCGTCCTTCTGTCTCCCCACGCGTGATGATTGCGCCGCCTGACGCGGCGCGTTCTGCTGAGGCCACGTCGCCTCTGCTAGGGTTCTTCTCGCCTATATAAAGGCCTCCAACCTCCCTTCTCACTTTTCGCATCTTGAGTTTCTGAGCCCTCACCGGTCAAGTTCCCTTCTTTCGCCTTCCAGCCCTCCGAGTCAAGTAAGCTTCCTCTCTTCTTCGTTAGCTTTTCTTTCCGTTCTTCGTTCCCCTTCCTGGTTATGTCTTCCCTCGGTAGTCCTAGGATCTCGTCCTCCGATGATTCCTCGTCTGAGGATTCTACCTCTTCTTCGACCGGGCATTATTCCTCGGATTCCGTACCCGGTCAGATCCCCAACCCTCCCATACCTGAGCCGCAGCCTGTGAATCAAATGCCCGGTCAGGTTGCTGCGGAGGGGGATGAACCGGTTGACAACGAACCGGGTCCTTATGACCCAGACACCGAGTCCTGGGAGGAGTGGGAAGAGCGGCTCCGAACCGCCGGTTACTTACCACTCCCTACCTATTACGTCCTCGACATTTCCTCCCACGTATCCAAAATTGCTCTGAATAAAATCCGGAGGAGGCTCCCGGATGGTTATACCCTCCTGTACGAGCATGACTGGCCTAACATCATAGAACCCCACCGGGAGGATATGATAGGATTTCACACGGTTTCCCTGGACGCGGGCATTGTTTTTCCCATGCGCCCCCTCCTTACTGAAGTTTGCCACGCGTTTAGGATTCTGCCCGGTCAGATAACTCCTAACGCGCATCGCTACCCGCACTCCTTTGTAAACATTTGCTCCCACCACAAAATAGACCCTTGCGTCTCTTTTGTTTCGAAGTCCTACCGGGTGGGACCGGTTGTGAGGGCTTCGTGTATTTTAAAGGTCGCACCGGTAGGAAGTTCATTTCTGACGTCCCCCAAAGCAACCGGGGGTGGAAAGAAAAGTTCGTTTTTATCGAGTTTCCCCCCTTTGTCACTCCTTTGGCCGGTCTGAAATGGAACGACCATCTCCTTGACCAAGAGTATGCTGCACCGGCTTACTCCCCAGACTTGGAAGCGAATCTTGAGGTCCTCATGCGCGGGGATCCTTTCACCGGGAGGATCTTCCATTATGGCAGCCGGGTTTGGAGGGTGGAGTCGGGTGGTGAGGGTACCTCCCAGGCCCATGAAGCAGCGGGGCGCGGGGTACCCTCCCCGGGCAACACTGCAGAGGCTAAGGGCCAGAACCACCCAGGTACTTTTCACTTTTCTTGTGATTTGCGCTTTGACCGGTACCATTGCTTGTACTTAACAGTTTTAGCTATTTTTGCAGATATGGAGTTCGAAGAGTTCGCCATCCCCGACGACCAACCAGCGGGAGACACCGGGGGCTCCCAAGCCAACCCTGCCAGAACCTTCCCGGTCCACCAAGAGACCGTGGAGATTTTGGATGAGGACGAACCCCAAGACAACCGGTCTAAGGGGAAGGAAAAAGAGAAGGCCGGTCGCCGGACCAAGAAGGTGGCCACCAACCATCCTTCTGCCATGAACAAGAGGCAGAGGACAGACTCCGGCGCGGCCTACCAGACCGTGGAGGAGGCCTACATCAACCTTGGTCTGTGGCTGAGGGAGGTAAGTCATCTCTCGTCACCGGTCACCCTTTATCTTATGTTACACAAAGATTGACCGGGTTGTTGTACGTTGTGCAGGTTGGGGAGATTGGCCCCATCACCGCCGACCGGTTGGGAATTGACTCTCCCACCGAGGTGGCCAGTCTGAAGAAGAAGAACGAAGAGCTGACCCTCATCCTAAAGAGCCAGACGGATGAGTTGGCCAAGTTGTCAAAGATGGCCGGGTCCTTGGGGGCAGAGAACACCCGGTTGAAGGAGGAGAACGGTCAGCTGCTGGACGAGGTCTTCGAGACCAAAAGGGAGATGGCGGAAAAGGAAGAAAACTTCCCCGGGCGCGCAGCTGCCTGGGTTGAGGAAAACAAAGCTGAAGCTGCCCGGGTGATGACGGCGAGCCCAGAAGCGACCATGGAATCCTTCAGGCTTTTGTACCGGGAGCCTGAAGGAAAGAAGATGATAACCGCGATTGGGTCCTTCGGATTCAAAAGCGGCCAAAAGAAAGACCGGGCAGCCTCCCACCGGATCCTTCTGAAAAGAGACCCGGCCTTCACCGCGGCTTCCTACGGCCTGGCTCCCATCCCGGAGGAAGAGCCAACTCCCCCTTTCCCCCTAGATTAGGATCTCCCCGGCTGCGCCCGGTTATTTTTGTAAAACTTGAAACCTTATCAATTTCCCCGGGTATGCCCGGTGTATCTGTAAACATTTAACATGCTTGCTTGTTGATTTATACTTTGCTCTTGTTTCTTAGAATACCATCATAGAAATTCTGACCGGTACATAAATCAGGCCACTTCTCAATTGTTTTCGACCGGTGGAACTTCAAAGTCCTCTTTGATCACTTCATCTGAAGGATTAGCTCGAGTAACTTTGACCGGTCAAACCTTGATTTTTGCTTTCTTGGCTTGTTTTTTGAATACGCTAAGTCCAGCCCGGTTGAACTAGAGTGAACCAGCTGAAATTTACTTTGGCTTTTTAGATAGCTTCACAAATTCTTTGATAAAGTACAGTTTGACCGGTAGGTTCCATTCCCTGGTCTGACCGGTCCTCTGCCTTGCCTTGTGGAACTTTCGAAGTTCTGTTGTGCCCATACCCGACCGGGGTATTCTTTTTTTTTTTTGACCGGTAGGTTGTAGATGGAAACACCTGTAACCTAGTAATTCTTGAAGTATCCTTAACCGGTAAGAATANACTGGAGATTTAACCATGTCGAATGGTTTCGAACCCTCTCCAAGGTTCAAATGCACCCTTCTTCCAGGGCCCCCTCTTCCGGGTGATTAAGTCTTTTAATGGCCCTTTGATTTCTACCATCCCGGGAAGGCCTTAGCTCACCCCCCGTTCAAGTCTTCCCTGAGAAGGGGGAAACAGGATGCGCCACGGTGGACGATCCCCTTCTATTTCTTTTAATGGGCATCTTTTAGTCCCCAATCAATTTGACGGCGCCGGCTGATTCCCCGACACCAGTCAAACCTCATGGGCCCGTGTAAGTACGGTTCGAACCCTCTTCCAGGTTCAGCCCTCTTGCAGGCATACCCTCTTCCGGGCCCCTCTTTCAGGTTTTATCTTTTTTTTCTATTATACTGAGCAAGACCGGTGTAGTAACCAGCGTGCCAGGTCCGGGCCTGTGTCTCAGTTGGCTTGTCCGAGTGGGTCCGATCCACCCAGGAAGCCCTCCTAGGATAGGTTCGACCTATCAATTCTGCCGCTACCAAGTAGAGTATTGAACATCACTTTGATTGATAATGTAGTTAGGCCTCACCTAGTATTACAATCATTTGTAGAACTTGCGAAGATGGTGGGAATTCCAAGTTCTTTCTATCGGTACACCATCTAAAATTTCTAACCGGTATGTTCCTGGTCGAATGATGGCTCTAACCCTGTATGGGCCTTCCCAGTTTTTTGCCAGTTTTCCTCCATCGCCGGGTCTACTTGCTTCTCTTCTTCGTAGGACCTCATCTCCAACTTGGAAGTACCGCGGCCCAACCTTGTTGTCATGGTACTTCTTCACAACTTGTTGGTATGTACTCATTTTAACCTCTGCGAACATTCTTCGTTCTTCGACCAAGTTGAGCTCGGCCAAGTGGTCTTCTTCATTTTGTTGGGGTTGATAATTTGATTCCCGAAACGTTGGGAATTCAGCTTCGATGGGCAGCCTTGCTTCACACCCATAGGTTAGGGAGAATGGAGTTTCCCCATGAGCCCTCCTGGGTGTTACTCGGAATGCCCATATGATGTGCGGGAGCTCCTCTAGCCACTTGTTTCCTGCTTCTCCCAACCGTTTCTTCAAACCATCTACAATAGTTCTGTTGGCGTTTTCGACTTGGCCATTTCCTTAGGGGTACGCCACCGAAGAGCGATTGTGCTTGATCCCGAAGCCCTCCAAGTATTCGGTGAATCTTGGATTTCGGAATTGTGGGCCGTTGTCGGTGATGAGGTTCATGGGCGCTCCAAACCTCGTGATGATGTTCTTCCAAATGAATTTCTTGCATTGTTGCGTGGTAATGTTGGTCAATGCTTCGGCCTCGATCCATTTAGTGAAGTAATCGATGGCTACGATCACGAATTTCTTCCCTCCTTGGGCGACAGGGAAGGCTCCAATGATATCCACCCCGAATCTAGCGAACGGGATTACGTTCGATACGGGGTGATAGTAGGTCGCCGGTCTACCGGGATACTTGTAGAATACTTGGCATGTTCTGCATTTCTGAACATACCTTTCACAATCCTGGACAATTGTTGGCCAGTAATACCCCAATAAGATGATGCGTTGGGAGAGCGTACAAGACATTTGATGCGCCGCGCATACGCCTTCGTGTACCTCCGCTATGACTCGCTCAGCCTCCCGGTTGGTTAGACATCTCAGGAGTGGCCCCCCAAATGCCCTTTTATACAGTTTTCCATCAAGAACCTGGAATCGGGGTGCCGTGAGCTTCACTTTTCTTGCCCGGTCATCTTGTTCTGGCAAGCTCCCATCCATCAAATATTCCATCAGATCATACATCCAATGGTCGTCCGCCCCAACCAGGTTTGACCAGTCAAATTGGCTTGCTGCTGTTATGGCGGCGACTTCCAATTTTTCGATGTTTGCACGGTCAAGGATCTCTACCCGGGCAAGTTTTGAAACATGCTCGGGAGCATACTGCGTCAATTTAGAGAGAAGGTCTGCATCCGCGTTCTCCGCCCGGGGAATTTGGGCGATCTTGAACTCTTCGAAGCCTTTCAACACGGCAAGTACAAGGTCCCTATATTGTGTCATGCGTCATTCTCTTGCCTCCATGTTACCGGTCACTTGCCCAACGATCAGGCCAGAGTCAGATTTGATACTGACCCGGCTGATTTTCAGGGCTTGGGCAAGTCTGAGCCCTCCAGCCAGAGCTTCATACTCTGCCTCATTGTTCGTCAGCTTGAAGTTGAAGACGATTGCATGGTAAATCTTGAACCCTTCTAGGGTGGTGAACACGATTCCACCCCCGTATCCTCTAGGACCGGATGCCCCATCAACTTCCATCTCCCACCATTGCTCAGTGGGCTTGTTGACCGGTAGGTCTGGAGTTAGACCGGTCATTTCTACCAGGAAGTCAGCAAGGGCCTGTCTCTTGATTGCCGACCTTGGCCGGTACTCAATGTTGAATTGAGTTAACATTATCGCCCATTTCACCATCCTCCCGGAGGATGTTGAATTTCGCAACACTGCACCCAGCGGTTGGTCAGTCAAGACTTCTACCGGGTGAGCTTGGAAGTAGGATGTTAACTTTTTTGCGGAGATGAAAAGCGCATAGGCTGTCTTTTCCATCGCCGTATATCTACTCTCAGCCCCGTTTAGTGCTTTGCTCACATAGTAAATGGGCTTTTGTGCCCCATCATCTCTTATTAAAACGGAGCTTACAGCATTTGGGGAAATTCCCAGGTACAGATACAGAGTTTCACCCGGTTTGGGTTTAGACAATACAATATCCGACGCTAGGTACTCTTTCAGCTCCTCAAATGCCCTCTGGCATTCTTCGTCCCATGCAAACGTGTTGGCCTTCTTCAGAACTTTGAAAAAAGGCAGGGATCTCTCAGCTGACCGGGAAAGGAACCGGCTGAGGGCCGCCAGACGACCGGTCAACTTTTGAACATCCCTAACGGAGGTAGGGGCTTGCATTTCAGTGATGGCCCGGATTTTTTCTGGGTTGGACTCTATTCCTCTCTTGGTCACCATGAATCCCAAGAACTTCCCGGTACGAACCGCGAAGACGCATTTCTTAGGATTCAGCCGGATGTTGTATTTTGCCATGATATCGAACGTGGCTCGCATATCAGTCGGGTGGTTGAGAGATACCTGGCTTTTGATCAGCATGTCGTCGACGTATGCCTCCATGGTCTTTCCCAACAGTGGCTTGAAGAGTTTGTTTACCATGCGCTGGTAGGTTGCTCCTGAGTTCTTCAAGCCAAACGCCATTACCCGGTAACAGTAGGTTCCTTCAGGTGTGAGGAATGACGTCTTCTCTTCATCTTCATTGGCCATGTAGATTTGGTGGTAACCCTTGAAGGCATCCATGAAACTTAAGAGTTCGCACCCCGCAGTTTCGTCCACCATTTGATCTGGACTGGGAAGGGGGTGAATCCATCGGACAAGCCTTGTTCAAGTCCGTATAATCCACACACATTCTCCACGTGTCGCCCTTGGGAGCAAGGACAACGTTGGCTAGCCAATCCGGGTATTTGACTTCCCAGATGTGACCAACACTGAGGAGGTCCTTCACTTCCTTCTTGACGAAGTCTCGCCGGTCACTGGCCAGGTACCGCTTCTTCTGTCGTACCGGTCGACTTCCTTCCCTCACGGCCAACCGGTGGCAGATAACAGAGCGATCTATTCCGGGCATATCCGCCACGCTCCATGCGAATATGCCCGCGTATTCTTGGAGGACCCGTGTAATCCGTGCCTTGAGATCCTCGAGGAGATTTGCTCCAATTCTGACCATCCTCGAAGAATCACCCGGGTGAAGTTCGATTTCCACCGTCTCGGCCTCGGGCTCCAATTTCTCCCGGGTCTCTCCCTTTGTGATCTCTTGGGAGATGACATTGACCCCCTTGGTCATCTTCTTAACTGCCCGGGCATAGCATTCCCGGGCATTCCTCTGATCGCCTTTCACTTCACCCACACCACCTGGAGTGTGGAACTTCATGCACAGGTGGGGCATGGAAATCACCGCCCCGACCTTATTGATGCCTGGCCTTCCAAGAATTGCGTTGTGGACGCATTTGATGTCCACAACTATGAACCTCATCTTCTTCCACACGGTCTTTTCACCTGATCCTAGTTCGACCGGTAGAACTATGGATCATTCAGCTTCAACGGTGTCTCCCGTGAAGCCTGAGAGAGGGGTTTTGAGGGGTTCAAGTTGTGTCCGACACAACCTGAGTTTTTGGAAAGTCTCCAAGTACAAGATGTTGACACTGCTCCCGGTGTCAACAAGTACCCGGGCGACATCCACCCCATTAATGTCCATGGTGATGACCAATGGATCATTGTGATCTTCACCGGTAGGAGGGAGATCTCGGTCAGTAAAGACGATCGGCTCCCTCCTAGTATGTTTACGCCTGGGCGGTTCAGCACTTTCCTCTCCAACGTAAATGCTCCGAACCCAGTTCTTCCGCTGCGCGGCTGAATCTCCACCCTCAGGTCCGCCGAAGATCATGCCGATGTGCTCTTTTTCGGGAGCAGGTTGCCGCTCCCTTGGCCGGTAGGGTTTTCTGGAGAAATGACCGGTGCTTTCCGGATTTCCTGGTATTCTTCCGTATTGACCACTCGGATGACCGGGTCATAGTGGTGCCTCGGCCGGCTAGGTCCCGGTGCTTCTTCCTTCTTGACTTGAACCGGTTTGGGCTTGTAACCATGCTCGGCTTCCTTCTTCGCCCGGAGTTGAGTTTCAGCCTCAGCAAACTCCCATGCAGTATGGTAGGCCTCTTGGTACGTGGCTGGGGGTTTCCGGCAGAACTCCTTGTATAGTTCCCCGGCACGCAAGCCATTCAAGAGGAGGGATAAGACGGTTTTGTCATCCATCTCTTCCACCTTGTCTACCTCTTCCTTCCACCGGGTAAGGAACTGAGTAAGGTTCTCAGACTCCCTTTGCCCGGCTGTACTGAGATAGGTGAATTTCTTCCTCTTAGTACAATTCTCCTGGAACTTGGCCTTGAATTTTGAGGCCAAATCACTGAATGAATCAATGCTTCCCGGGCGAAGCTTATTGAACCATTCAGTGGCTCGGTTCCGCAAGGTCTGGAAGAAAAGAAGGCACTTTTCTTCATCGATGCAACCGTTCATGGTCGCACTCTGGTTGAAGGAATCCAGATGGATTTCCGGATCTTCCTTCCCGGTGAATCTAGGGGCGTCGATCTTGACCTTTCACGGGAAAGGTGTCAGATGGACCCTTGAGGTGAACGGGGACCCCGCCAAGGGTTTGTCCCGGTCATTCTTCTCCCCGACCTTCTTTTCCAGCCTCTCCAGTTTTGCCTTCATCTGCTGGACGCGGTCATTTGGGACAGTCAACCGGTTCGCCACCGGTAACCTGGGCTGGCTCTCTGCTTCCTCTTCCTGACGAGAGGCCCTCGTCCTCGCTGGCTCCTGCCGGTTAGACCGGGAGCGCCGGGTGCGGGCAGGCTCGGCCTCCCACACCTCGCCTAGCCGGGCGAACGCGCTGACATGGGCAATGCTCTGCCCCAGCCTTTGCTTGGCTGACTTCCTCTGGCCTTCCTCCCTATCCCCCAGCCTTTCGAAGGCGGAGTTTCGGGAGGTCGCTGGCCGGATGTTTTTTCCTTTCTTCTTCTTGTGGGCCCTCGGGATGTCCCACTCGCTGTCATCGCTCTCAATTGAGACGCAATGACCATCGGGGGTGATTTGCGGATTCGTACCTTGCGGGGGACGCGACGGCCCTGCGGCGTTAAGTGCGCCAGTCAAGTTGACAGCTGGGGCTGGAAAGGTGATGGTTGCGGCATCGGCGTCCGGAACGACGTCACCGCCATCGGAGCTTGTAGGGGCATGGTTCCCGCGCTTGGAAGAGCAAACGGGAACATACCAGGGAGAAAAGGCATCCCCCCGCTCTGTTGGCACATGGCCATGACCTGACCGAAGCCCTGGATGGCTTGTAGGTTGGCTGGGTCATTCATGAACTAAATCATGCTTGGTGGGAACGTGACCCTCGGTCCAGCGGAAGGCACGGGGGTCGCGAAGGGACTGATCACGCTGGCCGTCGAGACAGAGCTCAGACGCAGAGGCAACACCGGGGCTGAAATGACCGGTATGGTAGCAGCCACAGGGATGCCGGCACCCTCATTGGTGGCTTGCACCTGAGCGGAAGTAGCGTTGATCTGTTGGCTGGAAGACATTTCGAGTGGTGTTCTTGTGGGTAGGTTTGTGTCTAGAAGAGAAGAAACTTTAACGGTCCCACGGGTGGCGCCAAAAATGATGGTGTAAATTACTTGACCTGTCAAACTATACTAGACCGGGTCTAGAATAGTTTGCTTGATTTGGCAAAGTAAGAAAGGTAAAAACACGCAGATTGACCGGTAGGACTTTAGGTGGAACACCTGTAGCCCAATTTATATTATAACGGAGAATGCACAAGTGCTTTTACAAGGGAGTTTAGAGAGAATGAATTCGGATCCCCTTTTTTGAGGGTTACAAGAGGTATATATACTAAGCTGGGGGGACAGGACCACGTGCGCCCACGTGGGGGCACGCTGCTGATGGGGTGCGAGGTGACTGGTTTCGTCCTCGAGCTGCCCTGTCGCCTTGTGAGGGGAATCACCTCCCTTGTCGCGTTCTGGCTTGGAAAAATGCCCTCAGAATCTCTGCAGTACCAATCACTACAGTCCAAGTCTTTTTGGATCCTTCCTGCCGACACTCGTCGACCTTGAAAAACTACCCCGGCTGGTCATCGTGGGTTGATTAATGGACTTCGGAAATTGGTTCCACAAACTTGAGTAATTTGACCGGTATACTATCCGAAGTATACCGGTCAACTTTGCGGTCGACCCGTCGTCTCTTTTCCGACGATATGGATCTTTCTCTCAAGTTTGACCTCTTTGACCGGTCAACTATCTGGCTCTGACCTCTGACCGGTCATGGGTGAAATACACCCATCAGAAGCTATCTGCTCGATTTGTGGATTTTTGATGTCGCCTATTGAAGCAATCAAATTGTATATTTAGAAAGAGAAAAAAAAGAAATACAGAAGATGTGGTTGGAGCTCACCTAAAAAAATTAACTTCTAAACTACTGTAGATAGTCTAAAAACACATTTTAGCCTCTCATTTTTAACCTACCCGTTGGAGTTGCTCTTATACTCCCTGCCTATAGTTAAATTTCTGGTCAGCTTGTTTGATAGTGGATGATTTTAGTGGTGTTCTGCACAATTAGTTTTTAGTTTTTAGTTTTTAGTTTTTTTTAATGCTGTGGGAATCGGTTTATTTGGATTAGGAGGCTATGGCCAAAAGTAGGGAAAAGCTATTGAAATCAAAAGGGGGACTGACATTGAAAAGTTAGGTTAATGGTTGATAGTATAAGATAGGAAATACTACTAAGTGTTTGCACTTTGAATTGCTTTCTGAATTTCATCTCAAGGAATGTGAAAGTGATTATGTGAGGGGGGTATGGAGCTTAAAGAATCATAATTGGTAATGTTTTTGCTTCAGGCATACGCTACTTTGTATTATCAATTGAATCGAAACGGTACATTACTTCGATTCGTACTTTCTATGAAGTTTGGGCTGTAAATTTAGCCTTGCATCTAGGGTCTAACAAAAAGAATCTTTTTTTGTTTTTCCTTTACTGGGTTTAGAAATTACAAGCGTAAGATTTTGGTTTGCCGAAGCCAATACCCTGACGGAGTTATATTGGATTTTGTTGTTGTTGCTGTCGTTGTTGTCCAAAAGTAGGAAACGAACCCTGTAATGAAGTCCTCATTGACCACATGCTATCGTTCAGTTTTTCATTTCCTAAACTCCCCGATTAAAAAACTAAAATTCAGAATGATTAATTCTAGTCTGGGTACATTTTGGGCAATTGCAAGTTTCTTGGTTTTCGAGAGTTATTAATCATGTGTGAGTGATAGCTTTGTTTAGACTTTAGAGCTTCTGTCATTCTGGGTTCTCTTCACGCTCTTTGAACGCTATGTTTAAATTCTGTAAAGTTCCTTGACGTAACCATCATTTTGAGTTATTTTACGTAATGACCTTTTTATTATTCATGTGCTTAGAAAACCTTATAGAAGGTCTAAATACATTTGGAAATATTGAGATATCCAGTAATGAGTATTATCTTAAGGAGCATGGTTATGAGAGGGTCATTTTGAGAAATAACATAAACCTAAATGCTACCTTTGGAAATTACCCTAAACATATTCAAATTGGCTGGCTAAATCTTAAAGAAAATGAAGGTTTTCCACTGTACTGACTAATCAAAAAGTCAACACGTTGAAGGTCTGCTTCTGATAGATTATGGCATCATTGTCTAAATAAAAAAGATGGGAATTTTCCAATGTACCAACTACCCAAAAGAAGACAGGAGATGAAGGCCAACTTCTGATGGAATATGTTAATGTTCCTCCACCAGTTCTAAAGTGTTATATGGTTTGTCAACTTGTTTCATTGATTCATTTGTCTTGTTAGCAATACAAAGAGCATTATTCTGACCAATATATAAGTTTTAAAATTTAGGAAGGCACAACTGTCATAAATCATGAACGATATCTATATTTTCTAAACTTGTATTGTTGTTTAACTTTATATCACAACATGTAACATGTTTGTGGCTCTTTTCGGAAAATCGCATGAAAAACTAGTGTCTTTCTTGATCAAGATTCCTTTTATAGAAAATGTTGTTGAAAAAAAACTTTTTTTGTATTTTAGGTATAGAGCAAGTAGCTGATAGTTTACAAGGAGCCAACTGTTGAGAGGACTTGGGATGGCGGGCGACGAGAGGAATCTCATTGAGATTTTAGAAGAAAACCACCCTATAGACTTCAACAAATATATCACGTACGTTCAGTCGCCAGAATGTGGAGCGATAGCCACATTTGCTGGCACAACTCGCAACATGTTTGAGGGCAAAGAAGTCATTGAGCTAAGGTACGAGGCATACACTCCGATGGTCATACGTTGCATTCAATCCTCATGCGCGTCTGCTCGATCGACTTGGAATCTCCACTCGATTGCCCTGGCCCACAGACTGGGACCCGTGGCTGTTGGGGAGACGAGTGTGTTTGTGGCAACATCGGCTGTTCATAGGGACGATGCTTTGGATGCTTGTAAGTTTTTGATTGATGAGATCAAAGCCTCAGTTCCCATCTGGAAAAAAGAAGTGTATACTAATGGAGAGGTTTGGAAAGAAAACAGAGAGTTTCACGAGAGAAATGCTGAGAAATTGACACCAAAGGGGCACTGTTGTGGGGCAAAGGTGAGAATTGATTGATGATCTGTAATTTCCTTTCTTTCTATTGCCGGCATGTGAAACAACTTTTAACACAGTTCAAATAAATTGAAGACTAAAAAAGGGAATACCATTTGTATACACTTCCTTTTGTATGGGAGAAACTTTTACATTTTCCTTTAAATTTATCCCAAAAATAAGTTTTCAGCTTGTGAGTTTCATATTACGGAGTATTTTGTCTTCTAAGAGCACTGGAAATGGTCATGAAGTCCCGGGCGTCAAACCTAGGCTTCAATCCTTCCCTCTCTGCTACATCAGTTTTTATCCCTTTTTAACTTATATCACAGTTTCACTGAAAATGAGTTTGAAACCCCGGAGTTTCAAACTGAGGCTTTTAACCTTTATTTTTTAAAATTTTTATTACACATTTTGTAAAATTAAGTTAATAAGATTTCATTAATAATTGAATTTAAATGACAATAATTCATTTACTACAAAAAATTGCATTCAATAAAAAAAAGAACACTTCTTCCTCTGGTGTTCACTTTTGAATGGACTGTGCTGCCTCAGTTATCGACTTTTCGATCCTCGGTTTGTAATATTATCAAGACACCATAATAGTAATTGGAAAAATTAATTTAGGACAAACAAACTTATGAAAGTACATAATGTAATATTCCTTCCCGTCTCTAATTTGATTAGAATATTCCCACTCATTCTTGTCCCAAAAAGAATTACAAAATTCCAATGTTAACATCATTTGGACCATTTTACCCTCCCATCTCCCTGTAATGACAAGTGCCTCTCTTCTCTCTAGTGTCTATTCTCTCTAAATCTAATCTAGATCTATACTCTTCGAAAAATGCTAGAGTACACCAAAGGTGTACCCCATTTGTCCTCTACCCCTCCTTGTCCACATAATTGGGCAAGAAAATAAAAAAAATAAAAATTAAATAAAAGTGGGTGGTGGAGAAGGGGGTGGTGTACATTTGGGTACACTTTTGGTATACCCCTGGCATTGCTCATACTCTTCTCTTCTCACCTCTTCGTCTCACCTTTTCGTCTCTTCCCCACTTCATCTTCTCCGATTTCAATTTCACTCTCTCTAAAATTATAACCTTTAGGGTTACGATGTCGTCTCCATGGAATCATGATCCATTTATGCCTACTTTTCATCTCTTGTCACAAGAATTGCGATCCAGATCTAGAATGGCCTCCTATCTCCGAATCTAAACTTGAGGTGCGTGTTGAATCATCATCGTACATTTCTGAGACTGACCCTACTTAGAAGTTTAGAAACGAATACGATTAGGTAGTTATAAAAGATTCAGTTGAGGGTTTCATGAGCGAAGAAGGTGTGTGGAGGGGGGAGAGGTGAGCTCTTAGTATTACCCGGACAACAGGACATGCACTGATTATCTTTTCATGGAAATCCCTCAAAAAGGCCTCTCGGCCTTGATCCTTGTGGTTTGCCTTCTTTTGTTTCTTTCTTACTCATACATGAGAGTTATGTATTTCGTTGTGACTGATGATGAAAGGGGCGTTTTGTTTCTATATTATGCACTATGATGATTGAAATTTATGTTAACTTGACCTTTAATCGTGTCTGGCATAGCTACAGACGTTTTGCTTGTTATGTAATAGTCCTTATGTGTTTCGCCCACAGTTTGACAGGGTACTTGAGATCTATGATGTTTCGTGCTGAGATCTGTGATGGCCCTAAGGTTTAACATTACCCCTGATCTATATTTGTTTGTTGTATAAGGTTGAACCTCACTGTGATGTATGTTTGCTTGACATATTGTAGAAAGGTTAATTTCATTAATTGAATATGTGGGAGTACATGTCTATATATACACAAGGGTTCCTAATCCTATACAAGGTAGAAGTTAATAATAGGAAACAATATATTCCTAATCCTATACAAGGTAGGAGACAATAATAGGAAACAATATATTTACATTAAATATAGAATATATTTAACATGCTCCCGGCTACGTCGGATGAGGAGGGGGTCTGATACCCAGACTGGACTTAAACTCGAGGAAGAGTAGAGAAGGTAGTCCTTTGGTGAAGATGTCAGCATACTGTGAAGAGGAGGGCACGTGAAGGACTCGGATATGGCCGAGTGCTACTTTGTCTCGCACAAAGTGTATGTCGACTTCAACGTGCTTAGTGCGCTGGTGCTGAACTGGGTTCGATGAGAGATAGACGGCGCTGACGTTGTCGCAGAAGACGAGGGTGGCGCGTCGTAGTGGTTGCTGGAGTTCAAGAAGAAGATTTCGGACCCAAGAAGTCTCAGCAACTGCATTTGCCACAGCCCGGTATTCTGCCTCTGCACTGGAACGGGAAGTGGTGGCCTGGCGTTTTGAAGACCATGAGATCAGGTTGTCGCCCAGAAAAATACAGTACCCGGAAGTGGAACGTCGGGTGTCGGGACAGCCAGCCCAATCAGCATCAGAATAAGCCTGGAGATAGTCTGTCGAGGAGCGAGTCAGGTAGATACC